ATGACATGCAAAGAGGATGTCATTTATAGATTTGTGAGGAATCAATAGCAAGAAAGCAATTTCAAATATTATGGAACCAAAATTTAAGAGAATTAGAAAACAGTTCCAGAGAATATGAATTGCATCAAAGAAATTGAAAATTATAAATTTCATTTGGAAAGCACATTGAAAAGATTTTTAAAAACCCAGAAATCTAAGAATTATTGTATTCCTACCGCAATATTAAGAAGCAACGACGATCAAGAGACTAAAAGACTTTTAAAATATACTGAAGACAGAAACTAAAGAAGGAGTGTGAAGGGAAATAGATATCGAAACACTAACATTCCTTCAGTGCATAAAGCCAATGAACCTAAACTATTTTGAACAAATCAAATAGAATGATTAATCCTAGAAAGATTTTCTAAAAGCAAAGGTAAAAAAGCAAGAGAGGAAGGGGTTTGTTGAACAGAAGATGGGAGTTGTACTCAGAAATATGGCATGGAATTAAAACAATTCAGAAATGGAGAATAACAAGAGTCAGAAAGTTTTATTGTAGAGAGGTCCAAGAAGCAGAGTCCATCAACTCCCGAAGTTAAACAAGGGAAGACGAAGGGACAGGGTGTGCGTGAAGAGGAGGACACAAAGGAGGAGTAAGAACAGGAGGGGGTGGGGAAGGGGGAGAGGAGTTGAGTCTAAGCTAGTGGTAAATCATGTTCTCCGTTACAGCTTAGCTGGAATGGTCAGTCTCCGCTAGCATCGGAGAATAATAAGGAAAGGCACTCGAGTATGTCAGCTTCCTCCATACACAACCTATCAAGAAATTTTAGTGCCTGTGGAGACAAGGCAGAGAAGCATTCCTCCGAGCTTGAGCTCCAGGATGGCCGCTACTTGCTCTACCGAATGGTCTATTGACAAGACAGTGACTTGCGTGGCACGATACTTTAATGATACGATTAAAGTTTTTGCATACAACATTGGTGATTAGTTTTCTTTGGGTATACAGTGGCGTCCAAAAGAAACTTGAAAATGTAATCACCCAATCATCATGTTAAAGCCTCTCATTACGCACTCATGCAGCATACCGATTTAAAATTAAATAAAATATGCATCATTTGACACCCTCATAAATCATCTTAGTTAAGAGACGTCCGAGATATGGTTACTCAAAATTGACTTTAGAAAATCAGGTATTGCAAAATTTCAAAAACGTATTATTGTCTTGGCCCGTCTATTGAGAATATAAATATTGATAGAATGGACCTACATTGCATATCCAATGAAAGGAGAATATTGTCTTTGCAATAACTATATTTGGTAACTATAACATTATTTTTGTCCCAATAGTATAAAAAAACGGAAAGCAGAGCAGCCTCAAATACCACGCAAAACTTGGACTTTACAATAAAGTATGTGATCATTGCTATTTTGCTTAGGAACCATTGTTTTGATTTAGTGCGTTGACCATATCATATTTTGGACTTAATTGTGTATCATTTCATCCCAAAAGTCACAGAGTTGCAAATAACGTTTGGGCGCAAAGTCGCTTTTCTTCAGCTGCTGTTTCATGGGACTCACCTACCTGTTGGATTCATGTCGGGATATCTGGGCTATTTACTTGTGACAACTTCAACGTTGATACGATTCGGTTTTCCCAAAATTGTCCAGTGGCATTAGCACTGTGAGAAAGGGCTTTGCTAGGCACGGAGATGTCTACTTGAATGACACCATGACAAAAATAATAATAAAGGCGTTCCAGCACTTCAACGATGTAGTTCACTGAACTAAGCCATCCAGTGATTTTCACAAGGGCGGTTTTGTTCATTACAACCCAGACCACCCAAAATCATAGCTGTTTCGCGGTCTCTGTTCCTCACTGACAAATGATTATGTTCAAAATCTAGCTGACAGAGTCTGTGGTCAAAAAAGGTTTCGGGTTCGACACGAAGCCAACAGTTCCTAAACAAAAGCAAAATTAAATCAAATGAACTTAATTGTTACGACCAGGTTTTGCGTGGTGTTTGTAAGTGCTCTGTTTTCCAATCTGTTTGAAAATATCGTCATAAGGTGCTGATCATTGTGGGGACAATGATATTCTCTTTTCATTTGATATTCAACACAAATCCATTCCACCAATGTCGATGCACCTCAATACACGCGCGAAAATGACATTTTGCGTTTCTTTGATTCCGCACAATTTTGACAAACCTGACTTTCATTCCCATATTAACATGTTCTTATGCTCAGTAGAATTGAAAATGGGCTGATTTATCAATGTCATGCTCATACTGTTTCGGAACAACAAAAGGGGAACTGTTGCTTTTTCTTTGCTCATCCTTATTATCGTCATTTTCCCTCTAGTTCTTTCGTCAATTTTGAGTGACCATATCTCGGGTGCCTATTGACATAGATGAAATATTAAAGTGTTAGATGAAGCAAAATTTATTCACCTTTAAATTGGCATGCTGCACCAAAGGGTAGTAAAATAAAAAGTAAAGTTGTTCCCGCATCTGATCCGGACATTGGGGATTGCCTTGTTAGCGAGACAACTTCCTGGGCCTTTGGCATAGTTTGGTAGGGTGGCCAGTTCCTTTCCACTCCGCTTTAACTTCCCCAACTCGAAGTCATGTATCCATTACTGCTGGGTGGGCAGGACAGGGCGAAAAAAAACCGTGTCCGAATCGAGGGTCGAACCCGAACTTTCCGCTTCGGAGACGAGCGCACTAACCGCTCTAGTGCTGCCGATTGAAGTGTCTTGGGTCATTCCCATATTAACATGTTCTTATGCTCAGTAGAATTGAAAATGGGCTGATTTATCAATGTCATGCTCATACTGTTTCGGAACAACAAAAGGGGAACTGTTGCTTTTTCTTTGCTCATTCTTATTATCGTCATTTTCCCTCTAGTTCTTTCGTATGTTTGTCACTCTCTTGTGAACTGCTATTTCCGGGGTGCCTTGATAGTCGAAGCAGACTTTGTGCTGTTGAAGCTAGAGAGAAGAGCAGAGTAAGCATGATTCCCTGTTTGGACTTCTCCGTTGACATCCCCCCCCCCCCCCCTTGGCGCTCGTACGGCCGGAAATGTAGTACATGGTACTTTTTAGTCAGTGGGTTTTTTTAAGATCGAGCTCGGAAAGAAGGGGAGCGGCATGCAGAGTGAAAGAAAGAAAGAGAAGGGTTTTTTTTTTTTACCCAGAAGAATGAAAAAGGGAAAAGGGGGAGGAGGGGCAGGGAGAGACGTGTAAAGAAAAGGAGAGTAAAGAGGGGAGGGGGAGAAAAAGAAATAGAGAGGGAAATAGAGAGGGGGGGAGAGAAAGAGAACGTTGGGGGGGGGGGGGGGGCGGATACCTGAGTCAAAAAAGGGGAAAGCAAAGAAAGGAAAAGATGTAGATCTATTGCTTATTTATTTTCAAATTGCTCTTTTAACAGAATAGCCAATTGCTTCGCAGTGCGAATTTGAGAACTTTCTTTGTTATTTTAAAATTCTAAGAAACACACTTCTGCCATCCTGCTAAATGACTGACACAATATTAACTCAACGTGGAGCATGAAAAAATCAGTAAAAAGAGTACGGGTAAAGTACAGCATTACAGCCTTTATTACCATAATAATATATCGCCCAGTGGCATGTATCAAGATTATACCACAGAAGAATTAACTACACATTATCTCAAAATAATAGATTTAAAACAAGTATTGTGTAAATGCAGTTCAGCTGAGTCAAACACAGTTTAGAGAGAAAGGGAACCGAAAGAAAAAAATACAGGTTCGAAAGGAAAAGTCATCCTCGAGATTTTTTTAGCTTGGAGAAAGAGGAGATAAATTAATTCAATGCATAATCCCTGTACCTGACAGTAACTCTGTGGATTTTTTCAGTCTAAAGTAACTGACTCTAATGACATACTGTTTTGTTGTTGTTTGTTTGTTTGTTTGCTTTCTTGATGGGCTCAGTCTAAGACTGTAGATAACATCATAGATACATCGTTCGTAGTTTCCAATGGAAGAGTGGAGAAAGAGGGAAGAAAAAGACAGGATATTGAGTAGTTGATCAATAATCAGTCTGAGGAACTGTGTTTTGTGACTCTGGACAGAATAAAACTAATAAATACATTTTATTATAACAGTGTTGGTAAAATGGTATGATGGGAGAAAATCGTATCCGCACCAAGAAACAAATTAAACAAACTTTAAAACATTTTGTGTTGATATACGTTGGACAATGGAACTTGACTTTGAAAAGGCAGTGAAAATTTCACTGTTTTAAAGGTCTGTTTGTTTTTAGTTTAATTTTATTTCCAAGCAGAGACCGTGGTTATAATAAGGCACAATCTGTTTTCCCTGTTCATCGGGTGTACTTCGAGCTTCACAAGTTGCAACTCCTTCGAGAGTACCGCTTCATCACGGCAAAACTCTTTGTCTTGGACAGCTTATTGTAGGACGTTTGAGAAAAATTAGGTGGATACTTAGATACACATGCACACACACACACACACACACACACACACACACACACACACACACACACATACACACATACAGACACATATGCACACACACACACACACACACACACACACACACACACACACACACACACACACGCTCGGGCGCGCGCGCACACCTTTAGAGGGAGAAAGATGGGTGGATTGGAGTGAGTGAGAGGAAAGTAGGGAGAATAGGAACGGGGACAGCGGGAGAATATTATGAAAATTGAGAGAGAGAGAGAGAGAGAGAGAGAGAGAGAGAGAGAGAGAGAGAGAGAGGGGGGGGGGAGAGAGAGATATCAACTAAGAGGAAAATGAGTGAGAGAGTGAGGGAGTGAGTGAGTCAGTCAGTCAGTGAGAAGTGGAGAGAGAAGAGAGAGGACTAAGTCGTGGCTTTCGTAATCCATTATCAAGGCTTATTTATCTTTGACGTTTGAACGTGCGTTTTTCAACAACTACATGAGATATCATGGAAAGAAGTGCTATGAAACTGCTTAGTGTTGATTTTCAAAACCTCAGAAAACATTTATCAATTTTGCCGAACGTCTTAACGGTCTGGGGTGAATGATCCATTGGAGAATGTGCCCGTTTTGAGTCCCGGAAGACCCAACAATCGTTCGCAGTTCTCTGCAAAGCTGGACAACTGTTCTGCACTGGAAAGGCTTGGATATTCAGCAGCAGCCACCTCGGTACAGGCGGAGACGAAGGCGAAGAAGCTGAGACCTGGAGAGAAGAACGACTGGGTGAGATTGGGAAGAGGAAAGGGGGGGGGGGGGGGGCAGGAGTAGATGGGCGGTTTGGGCGGGATTCAGCCCTGGAGTTGGCAGATGGAGAAGGAAGAGTTGCTTCCTCTCAAAACTACGAGGGAAGACATGAAAATATAACCGTGGGTGCACGGTTTAGAAAAGGTCTAATGGCCCTTTAAATATTGTAAAGTAAGGTATTTATATAAAAGCCTTTTGTAAAGAAGGCAACATCTCTGAGTCAAGTAAAGCCTTTAAAACTTCACAAACATCAAAATTTAAACATTCCGAACGTGGGGTTGCGAAGCAGGATCATTCGCATTATGAACCAAATGGATACTAACCTACCTGGCAGTGCTATATTACATGACTACGGTCGTGGGCTACACAATAACTTAAAACATAAATAAGTGCAAAACATGAGTCAAAGAATATATCGCAATACCCAGTTATAGCTTGTCCACCTTCGTCTGACTGCGTTAAAAAAATTCTAGCTCATTTATTAATTTAAGTATATCCTCGAAAATTTGCAGGCCAGCGACCAAACGAAAATAAATATCTTATTTTAAAATCTTGATCCAATAATAAAAAAGTTTTTCTTTAATTACTCACCCCGTCACTTGAATCGTGTTTCTTAAGCGTATGGTAGAGTGTGGTTTTGAGGAACATATGCCAACTTTTTAAGGTTTAGGTGTAGGCTGTAAATCCCATATTAATTGTTCGACCTGCTTAAGGCTTACTTCAAAAGAACACATGACGGAACCTTAGTTTACAGTGACCTTTATGAATGGGCTTTTAGATTGTTGATCATCCAAAGATCGGAGAAGATTAAACAGATCAATTTCATTTTATCTTATTTTAACCGCGGTCAGGCGAAAGTGAACAAGCTATAACTTCTTTGCTATAACTAACTTGAAACATATTGAAAGTTCAATCAATACTTTAATGAAGCACGGTGTCGGCGATCTGGTCCTTGTTCTATTCGTGTGGTTGCAATAATATTGCAAGAAGTTAAATAAAGACTTCCTGTGTGAGCTATTGGTAGTGGGGTACGCATCACAAACTAACGCTTTCAATTTAAAACGAACAAAAAACTGGCGTTGCCCGCTTCACCGCCAGGCACGATACCTGAATTATGGAACAGGTCTGAGAGTAAAAGTCTATACCATTAATTTGTTTCGTAAATCTCCGTTTATAGACATATAAAGTCACTGTTCGCTACTTTATTGTTGGATTTTAAAAGTTTGGTAACGTTGTTTTCTCCTCTCAACCGATAGCACAATATCTGTCAATAGTATCGACCCCTCAACATATGCAACAAGGGGGGGGGGGGGGGGGGGGGGACGATACTGACAGTTGGGAATGGGTCGTATGGTAAAAAGACGGGGGAGGGGGTTGAGGGTCCGGGGAATGCAGGGGAGCTGATTTGGCTCAGATAGGGGATAAACTGATGGTAGTGGGGATGAGTTGAGGGGGTAGAAATAAGAGTGTCAGAAGTAAATGAAGTTGATTCACTTTTTCTCTATTCAACCAACCCCAAATGTATGTGGGTATAGACAGAATATAATATGGTTCATCGCTCAACCGATTATGTTCCTCGCGCAGACCAAACGGTATTATCGAATGAATAGAGTTTCTTGGGTTGAATGTTTGAAGATGGCGTCGGTGGCCAAGTGGTTAGGCTACCGGACTCGTAATCATGAGGTTGCGGGTTCGGGGGTTCGAGCCGCGGGCCCGACGTTGCGTCCTTAGGAAAGGCACTTTACAGGAATGTTCCTCACTTCACCCAGGTGGGAATAGTACCCGGCAATAGAGAGCGAAAGATCTTGTCAGTATGTTAGCGTTTTAGCGCCTATAAATGGCCGCTTGCACTGTATGCTTCCCAGGAAGTTGAGGTTGTATTAGAATGCTCTCGGATCTGCTGGGGTAATAGTATAGATTTTGAAGCGCTTTGAGCTTGCTGTTAAGCGGGGATTTGCACTATACAAATGCTATCTATTATTAGATGTTAAATCCCCTGCCGTCACAAAGCCAATAATTTAAAGCTATTTCCACCCTGCCTGTTAGGACCAACACGAACCTTGAAACGGGAAGGAGAGTAAGCATTCCACCCTGAAAGCCGATATCAAGGTAATAGTTTCCATCTCTCCTACACAAATCGAGTGTGTTTGTGGGGGGGGGGGGGGGGGGGGTTGCTTTACCGTGGATCCCCGCTAGTCGGATCCTGCGCCTCCTAGATGACTAATTTATGCGGAAATATGAATGAAAAGACATCAAATTTTACAGTGTTTATAATAGAAGTAAGAAAACATATATAAAAAACAAGCCATCAGAATTTGCCAAAAATTTTCTTTAAAAATGAAGTCTCTTACCAGACGTTCCTTTAGGATTCAGGTGGAGATTGGCTTGTTCAGTGGCGCAGAAGAACTTATCGACTTCTGAACTACTCATATTCTTGTCCAACTGACATTTCCTGAGTAATAAAAAAAAAATGGAAAAACCAAACGTTTGTCAGACATTATTCAAAAGCTCATATAAAAAAACCTGTAGAAGTAATAATAATACAAGCATATTGAATGATCGCACGAATGGGTACTGCCAAATAAAGTTTAACAATATTAAAAAAGAGTATGTGTGTGTGTTTGTGAGTGTGTTTTATGTGTGTGTTTGTGTGCGTGCGTGTGAGTGTGTAAATGTGTGTGTATATGTGTGTGTGTGCGCGCGCGCGTGTGTATGTGTGTGTGTGTGTGCGCGCGTGTGTGTGTGTATGTTTTATGTGTGTGTTTGTGTGCGTGCGTGTGCGTGTGTATGTGTGTGTATGTGTGTGTGTGTGTGTGTGTGTGTGTGTGTGTGTGCGTGTGTGTGTGCGTGTGTGTGTGCGCGCAAGCGCACGTACGTACTATAAACTTGTTACATTGGACATTTTACAACAAGAGTGGATACAATTCTCTTCGGTTCCTGTGAGTATCTGTGGGGAACTTGTGCATGGAAACTCGCCGTTTTTGGAGGCCACTCAAACTATCATGGCTGTCTCTTTTACCAATCAGAGCCAAGCGACGTTGTCAAGGAATAGACTTTTTCTAGGTTGCAAATACTGTGCGGTACAACTTTTTGTATTCTAACCTAACCATTCATTGGGACAAGGGAAGACATCAGAGATCGGCACCTGTGTTGTCAAGCGTAAGTTCGATCCCCGCTTGGAAAGATCAATTTACCAGGAACACTCTCAGTAGTGAATGGTTCGTCAGTCTCATTTAACTAAACAAAATACGCAAGTTGAAGGCTGTAAAGGTAACGAGAACGACAGCATACTTCACAAAGTCTTTGAATTCAGATCGGCTCATGTACGCGGAACCTGTCGACGGCACGGAGGCGATGAAGATCTCAGCAATTCTCTCCAGTGTCCTACACGGCTGCAGTCGCTTGCCGTACAACTTGGGCACCAGCTGGATCAGACTGCTTTTGTCTTCTCCTTCCTCATTTTTCTCCACTTCCACGTTGTCTGGGGTGTAAGGTCCTGTCACCTTCTTGTCTGTATCTCCCTGCTGTGGCTGTGGCCTCCTCCTGGAGAAAAAAAAGTAAATACATGGAGATTCGCCTGAGTTGGGTCGTTTCGAGTTGTACAGAGTTGTGTTTTTCCAGTCACTGGTTTTGGTTTTTGTAGATTGAACTTCCGCTTTCGGAGAGTGACAGCAATGGTCATTATCAAATCGTGAGGAGAGACTTTTAGTTATGACAGGTTTCACAGATAAACATGATACTGGTAGAGAAATTCTTGAGCTTTCTATGGTGATACGTTATCTTCAGAACAGTTCGAGACGCAACTACTCCATTTTAAATTTAGGCAACGTCAGTTAAGCACATTAATAGAAACCTCTCAAGTTTAAGAGACGACAGTAAAAGTAATAGAAAAAGTTGCACGCCTAAAAGTAATTCAAAGCCGAAATCTGTGTATGACTTATGCAATCAGAGAAAATAATATGTTTAGCCATCCAACCATTTGCAAGTCCTGGTCGCCATTTATCTCATTATAAAGCATTGGTTTTCGTTGAAAGCTACGCTTCTACATGTTTCCAATTCAAAGGCATTTATCACACCATTTGAAATATTATTCCTCAAAATGTCAATGAAAGTTACTGCATTCCTTTAAACGTATAATCTCAATTTTGGGACTCGCATAGGTTTTAACTTAAAATAATTATGCTCAACTCTGTCAAATAGTTAGGTGTTTCACATATAAACTAACTGTGACATGAAGAGGATTAGTTAGGTTTTTATCTATCAGGATCAGTAAAAAATGTGAAAAAATTAAATTCTGCCTAGGTTTTCCAAGCTGTGCAAATAATGTTGTAATTTTTTTCCTTCTCGTTTTCCTCAACACCACCGCTTTGTTCTAACCTACAAACGTTTTTCACATACATATCGCATTATCTTATTCTTCTTCCATGTTTATCCCATAAAAGAGACCAAATATTGATGATCTGGTCATCTTTTAAAAATGCCTCCAAAAAAGGCAAATCGAAAACATTTTTGCGATTATCCATCCTGTTTGTCTCTCTTAACTTTGTTCTCCAAACCATAGCCGCCCGCTTCTTATATAACCTTATTATAGTGTTGATGGAGGCGTTTAGCCTGTATCGTTTTATTTCACACCTTGGTCTTGAATATCTGCCCTTGGGTGTAACGAGCAGCATCGTGTCTCTGAGCAGCTTCCTTCTCATGTTAAAACTCTTCACAGCGAACGCTTTCTCCATCTTTCCAGTGGGACGCATCACTGTGTCAAAAACTCTGATGCTCGGGTTGTGGTTCACCTCAAGAAGCACCGGCTCCAAGTTGTCTCGTAGGAGAATGTCGAAACCCACAATCTGTATGTATGAGAAAAGGCGAATGGATTGGCTTTATAGAGCCGTGAAGGTCATTGGTACACATGCATTCGAAGGTTTATCCTCGAATTAGAATAACACAAAAACAAAAATAAACGGAAAATCAGTTATCCTGGTGGAACTTAAAAGACACTAACAGCTGCCAGGATTCTTATTCAATTTGTGTGAAAGATCTCTACTCCTCATAATTACTGTTTAATCAACCAACTGATGCGCGAAGAACAGCTTGTAAGACTGCGAACAGTGAGAAAAGACTGAATATGAAACGAATTAACAAGCGTGGGTATACCAAAACAAGCAGACAGAAACAGTAAAGAAATATAGTCTATCAATAGCTCCCTCTAACCACCAGCTTTGCTCACATGGAAGCACGTAGGTCCATTCTGGTCATCTGGAATGGCGGCGTGGTAGTCAACCAGCATCTGTGGCGCCATTGCCGTAAGCGTCTTAGCAACAAGTAGCTCAATGTTCTGCCACAACAGCTTGGTGTCGTAGCCCTCCTTCTCTAGCGTTTTCAACACAGAGGTGACCAAGCGTTGGCTACCCTCGTTGTCCTGGGACGGTGATGGGGGTTGGAGGAAAGTGAAATGGTGAAAAAGTTAGGGTGTGGCTATTTGTACATTTAATGGCTCAGGATGATTTATAACAGAAATTGCTTTTAAACAAATAGATGCAGTATCATTTAGACATCTCAAACAGTGTTGTATTTTATGCTTTATTTTTACTGGTAGCCAATACAGCTCTTTCAGAATAGGCGCTGCGTGCTCTGATTTCTTCTGTTTCGTTGCCAATTATGCATGTTGATTTTGAAGGACTATCAATATGCCTTCGTTACAAAAGTTCTGTTTCACACATTTTCAAAGAACAATAAATCACTTAAGATTCACCACAGCGGAACTAAATTCGGCATAAGCGACTTTTATTCCATTTTGGTCTTGAAATTCATTTGTCAGTTTCATCATAGTTTATTCAAGGTAGAGAACGGTATTCACACTGACTCTTGCAACAATTAAATAAAATTTTGCTCAATATTGGGTGCGGCCCTTTCCGACTTGATTTACTGCTACGCAATACCCGTTCATAGACTAAATCAATGTCTTAAATGTTGCTTGAGGGATCCATTGCTGTTTTTAATTAATCCGGTCAATGTCATCCCAGAGATGATCTGTTGGTTTAATGTCTGTTGGTCTTATAGGCCCGTTTAATACAGTCATTTGATGAGTTTGGAAGACATTTGAGTGATCATGGGCACATGTGATTGCGTGTTGTCATATTGGCGAATTCCATCCTGCCATGCCATGTAGGATAGTACATGGGGGCATAGAATTTCTTCCCAATACCGTCGTCCTGCAAGGTGGTCTTGAATTGCGACCAAATGAATGCGATGGGCATTTTCGGAAAATATTTCGTCTTTTGGGTGGTATATGGTTTTGTTGCACACATTTTCAAAGAACAATAAATCAATATCTGAGAGATTGTGAAAGTGCTACTTTTGCTTAGAGAGTAGTTGGGTGTACCTTAGCAGAATATTTCTGTGATAAGTTTTTACTTCTTAAAATGGGTTAACGATGTGCTGTGCATTGAATTTTGAGTAAATCCATCATGATAGCTGTGGGAAAGTAGCGTTGTACAACAAAAGGACTGTTTATTGGCGGGTGTAAACCGAAAATGCAACACGATTACGTTCATCTTGACACAGAATGAGAGTGTTGAAATGCCGACTATTAAATGTGTTTTTGTGCCCTGATCATGTGGTTAATAAGAGCAGAAAATAACGCTATAAGATCCTTCGTGTATGAACCTGTAATGAATCGTTACTTTCGGCACTCTACGTGGGGTCTAAACCAGGACACACTTTTGAGGAACAGCACGATACAATAAAATGTATACCCCCACAAATTAGGTAAATATAGAATGCACGATTCAAAATGTTGAAAGTGCTATAGTAGAATTAAAGGAGAGTATCCACGAGGTCAAAAAACGTGTAGATGAGACCGACAACTGACGTGATATTCTTCAGCTGGACATTGAGGAAAAACATTAAATTATAACTCAACGCCAGAAGAAAAGTCTGAGTGAGATTGAAGTGCAGATCAAGTTGCCGCGATAACGTCATATTTCATGGCATAGAGGAGAAAAGAGCCAAAGTTTTCTCAAAAATGAGGAAAGTGATCTTTTTAAACATAATAGTGTCCTATAGATTCTGAAAAGAGAAGGTTTGCATACCCATACAACGTTTGAGTGCACAAGCCAGGAGCCAGAAACAAAAAGGGGCGTATTATTGAAGTACGTCTCGCACATTTTGTGGACAAATTGGAAGTCTTCAGGGAGAGACAAAATCTTGGCAAAATAAAAATCAGTGTCTCCAACGAGTAGAACTTTAAAGCATGTCGAAGAACTGAACAAAGTCAGAGACAAAGACCAGATAAGATATTATTAAAATGGGTATTTTGTCGCCATTGGGCTCATCCTGCACTACCCACGAAACGCCGGTAACAAAGGGAGAGCAGCGCAAGCAAACGGGATAACCTCGAGAACTCAACAAGGTCAGTCTGTGGCGAGATCGGAGTTCGACCGACCATTTTAGAACAAGAATGTAAACAGAAGTACGGAAAAAACAAGTATCCACAATAACTACTCAACATTTTCCTCTTCTATCAATGTAAGAAATTAAAAACCTGAATTCGTTGTTGAACAAGACATTGTATCAACGTCAGTGATTCAAAGGAGAATGCTGTTGCGCCCAAATTTGGAAATATCTGTAATTAAATGGGGTTAGAAACTTATTTATGGAACAGACTTCGTACAGTATTTTTGTTACCTCATCGCACAGCACGTAACTCTGGCTTTTGGCGTTGACCATGAAGTTTGTCAGGTGCATTGTGGTCATGTGGATATTCTCTGCTGTAGGTTTTGTGTAGGGCACTGTGGCCAAGCGGACCTGTCCCTCGTCACAGATGTAGAACTCGAGGGGAGAGACGGACCGAATGACGGCATGGATACGAAGGTCAAACTTGAAACTGGGGAATGAGAGATGTAAGTGTTAAAAATGTAGCATCGAACCCAGGACTTCGATATTGGGAGGCGAGTGTTTTATCAAGAAGTACAACAAGCTGACTTCAGTGGTGATGATGAAGATAGCAGTTTTTATGATGATTAGAGGGAGGAGGAGGAGGAGGAGGAGAAGGAGGGAGAGGAAGAGGACGTTGGGAAGAAAAGGGGGGAAATTATAAAGATGATAAATATATGCAGCAGCAATAATAGTAACATTAACAATGCCACCAACAAACAAAACGATTGAAACAAAAAGAGCAACGGTAACAAAGACAACAACAAAAAGTCAAAGGCGACCGCTGCGACAAAAAGAAGCATATGTCACTGTCAACAAAAACGGTAACAATTTTTGCGAGACTGCTGTCGTCACGGGAACATAAACACCAAAAGCACG